TTTATTCTGAATGGAAGAAGTAGCTTGTCTTTCTTCTTTAAGAGGTTTGAAGCAGCTGTGCAGCTCCAGTGTTTGAGCTTAACGGTGCATTATCTTTTGAAGCTCCACCACTAGACATGAGCAGCAATTGAAATCACCATGGCAACAAGCGTGTAAAACTTGAAAAGATTGCCCCTGGTTATCATTGCATGTTTGTTTTAGCTTGCTTTTTTTTTTTTTACATTTGAGTTGATTTATTGGTGAAAATCAGGTATGACCCTGACAGATTTTTGATTTATTAAGCACCATTAGTTTACAGCAGGAAGATCACCAAAAACATATGAAGAAATAACAAAAATATCAACTTTTTTAAATTAACTTGCACTAATGGACACAGACATTCAATTTAGAATTTATTTTTCTTAAAAAATATATTTAAAAAATCCTAGAAATATTTTGTTTTCAGTTAAGCTGTCTGTTCTTTCTCACAGACCTCCTCAAACAAGTGCAGAACGATTTCTTGTATCTGTTTATAGAACCTTTCTCATGTTATTTGCTTGGTGAAGGCATGTTTTTTCACAAGCTTTCTAAATTTAGAAGAAAATCTTTTTGAAGTTGATGGAGATTTTTATTTGCATCGAAAATACAAAACTCTGCAAACTTATTGTTTGTTAGACTCCTGGTAAGATGTTTTTAAAAATTAGAAAGATTGTCTCCCACTGCAACAGAAACCAGCACAAGCTGCAGAGATTTTGTTGCAATGTATTGTTCATTAAAAGAGGTGCAAAGATATGGATTGATGAAATATGATCACTGACATCTGTGGATTTTTTTTCCTTCTTTCAGCTGCTCTCTTCTTCAGGGGTCCCCACAGCGAACTAAGTCGCAGAAAGACTTGGCGATTATTTTTACGCCGGATGTCTTTCCTGCTGCAACCACAGACCACCGAGCTACCACAGCCCTCTGTGTGGAGCGGAGAGCTGCTATCTAGGGTGCCCGTAGGAGCAGATGGTAGGGGTTGAGGGCCTTGCTCAAGGGCCCAGAGTGGGGCAAATGAGGGTGGAAACAGGTGCAGGTGCTTCACCAATCCCACCCACATTTTGATGTTTTCGGTATCGAGAGTTGAATTGGCCATCTTCCGATCAGAAAAGGGTGGATTGCTTTCTTTGGGTCAAGGATGAGGTTCTGCCTCAAGTGGAGGAGTTCCAGTATCTCGGGGTTTTGTTCACGAATGAGGGAAGAATGGAGTGTGAGACTGACAGACGGATTGGTGCATCGTCTGCAGCATTGCAGACTCTGTACCAGTCCTTGTGGTGAAGAGAGAGCTAAGTTGTAAGGCAAAGCTCTCTGTTTACCGGTCGGTCTACATTCCTACTCTCACCTATGGTCATGAGCTCTGGGTAGTGACCAAAAGAATGAGATTGCGGATACAGACAGTTGAAATGAGTTTCCTCCGCAGGGTAGCTAGACTCTCCCTTAGAGATAGGGTGAGAAGTTCAGTCATCCGGGAGAGACTCGGAGTAGAACCACTGCTCCTCCACATCGAAATAAGCCAGTCGAGGTGGTTCAGGCATCTGGTAAGGATGCTCCCTGGGTGCCTCCCTAGGGAAGTGCTTTGGGCATGTCCGATTGGGAGGAGACCCCAGGGAAGACCCAGAACATGCTGGAGAGACTATGCCTCTGTTAGTCTGGGAACATCTTGGAATCCTCCCAGAAGAGCTGGAAGATGTGGCTATGGAAAGAGATGTCTGGGCCTCCCTGCTCAAGCTGCTGTCTCCATGACCCGACTTCAGAATAAGCGGAAGATGATGGATGGATTACTCTTTTCTCCAATTTCTATTTCATACTAACTTTTTGTTGATGTTTATCTATTTTATTTTGTACATTCTGCTTTTGATTTCTGACTTTTACTTTATTGTCTACTGCTGTGAGAAAACAATTTCCCTCAGGGAATCAATAAAGGATCTATCGTTGCATCTGTTTTCTGCAAGCATTACCATCTAGATGACAGCTATCATCCCCAGAGTTCATCTGCATGAAGCAAACTCAGTCGCCTTCTCAATATGACATAAACTCTCCTCAGGCAGCATATGAGGGGGCCGAGATGGTGTAGAGGCAGGGCAGCCGGCCTGGGACCCAAAAGTCCCAGGTTCAATCCCCAGTCACTGCATATCACGTGGTGTCTCTGGGCAGCACAACTCATCCCCAAAATGCCCCCCGGGCACCCTCAATAGCTGCCCACCGCACCACCTGGTGGTGGATGGGTTAAATGCAGAGACTAATTTTGCCATTGTATGGAAACATACAGTGCTGACAATGTGATGACATTATTATTATTATAACCCTCGTCAGGACTGCAGTCAAAACCCACAGAAGTGCTTAGGAATGGCCCAAAAAACGTGGCCTCCACTCTTTCTTGGATATAATGGGACACAACCCTAATCCACAGAGACTCGATTCAAGAGATTCATGATTTTCTTCCTGGCTACAAACTAAAAAACAGCCACAGGCATCCTTTGTTCATACTTGGACTGGTCAAAACAGAAAGGTTAAATTACTAAAAATGAATTGTTTGCTTTTGTCATGTTTAGGCACATCACACTGAAACTGTGTGTCTTGGCCATATAGTTTTCTTATAAAAACCTTGAGTGAAGCAGACAATAAGCAGATGGCTGCTTGTCCTGAGCCTGGTTTTGTTGGAGGTTTCTTCCCTCATAAGGAAGTTTTTCCTTTCCACTGTTGCCTCTGTGCTCGCTTAGGATGAGAGACTGCAATGAAGTGAAATCTCAAAGCAATCTTCTGTCTCCTTAGATAAATAAAGCTATTAACTGACTTTATGTGAATGTGAATGTTCAGTGCCCTGAGACAACTTCTGTTGTGATTTGTCGTTATATAAAAAACTGAATTGAATTGATATTTTAGAAGCATGGTCACAAGACAAAATAAAACATTAATATGATGTCCACGTGGTGAAAATCCACTGAAAACTCACATTTTCACCACCTATTGAGGTTGATTGTTCCTAGGTAACAAGGTGCTTTACTGAAAATGAGCTCACTAATCAGGATTCAGTGACCTTATCAATATTCATAGCTAAAAAGATGATTCCCAGCAATTAAAAATAGGATAATATTTGTCCCACTCTTGACAAGCCAATAATGAGCTGTAGACATATTACTAACAATCATGAATCTGCATTAAATATTTAGTCATTTAATTAAATGTAAGAAATGAGCCTATGACACTCACAACTACAGCAACAGTGAAACCTAAACGTGCATCTTATCAAACATGTCCCTTTATTGTTACAGTTGCATGTATTTTTAATTAATGTGACATAAAGTTTATATTTCTTAGTATTCTTTTTAAAAAAAAAATTGTTTTAAATCTCCTATTGGCTTTAATTTGCCTTGAGTGAATGTCTTGTCATGCAAGTTAAAATCTGAATGGTGCCCCTATTATTTGGTGATGACGGATACTGTTATTTACATAAAAAAGCAAACTGTTTCTGAAATGTTATGTTTAAATAAAAATGTTGGCTTTATACTTAAAATGCTACATATAATTTAACAAACGTTCACTTTTGAAGATTTTTATTTACTCAAAAGAGTCCTACAGTTAATATTACACTTCAGCTTTACAGGTAATTATAATTACATATCAAAATGAAAGGATAAAAAGGTCATTTAACAAAATGAAAAGATTAAAATCTCAAAATAATATTTACTTCAATATTTAATTTACACAAAATTATTTTGACGAGGTCTAATATCCAGTCTGTGCTTATTTTGGAAGATATTTGTTGGGCTGTTATTATTTATTACATTACATGTAATTAATAAAATAATTTAACCAGATTTAACTGATGAACTGGGAACTGGGCCTTTTGGGGTTGGATAAATTGAGAGTGTCGATGTAGTTAACTTAATTGCTTTATTTTTCTAATTTATCCTACTTAACACAAATATTAGGCTGTAAAAATGCAGCAGTGATCATAAAACAGAAAAAAAACCTGATTAAAATCTCCATATGCAGAAAAAAAGAAAAAGAAAATTTTACACGTTCTCTGTTAGTCGTGCCAGTAACTAGATAAACACATAAAACATTCAGTGTTAATGACAAAATGACAAATAAACATCTACTTGGTTCGTTTATAATGCGTTTAAAGTTCATTATGCAAGGATATAAATATAATTTGCTCTTTTTGTGATTAAAACCCAGAAAATGTCTTTCATTTATTTTGGTCTTGCCCTTTCTCGACTCAATTTTGGAAAAGTATTTGTATTTTGATTTCTACTTTTATAGAACCAGATCTTTTACTTTGCTTTGAACATGTTTTGGTTGGCTTCACTGACTACCCAACAGCTAAAGAAAAACAGTTCTATATTATTAATCTCATTATATACCTAGCCAAATGGCATATTCATAAATGTCGATACACTAATCAAAAACCTCTTATCTCCATTTTTGAAAATGAGGCCAAACAATACATCAAAACTATTAAATATACCAACACGAAGGCCATAAAAACTTGCACCTTATGTGCTCTCTTCAATATATTTATGTAATATGTTATTGTAAATTATTGTCTCAGTGTTTGTAACCCCCTGCCGTCTGTTATATCATTACTGTATACTGCATTTTATTGTATTGTTTTGTACTTTTTCAGTAAAGATAATAACATTTTTTTTAAAGTTCATTATGCCTTTCTACAATTTAAAAATACATTTCCCATCAGCCCACATGGGACGCAAACTCTGTGACGTATATTTTAGTCGACTGCGGAAGACAGCTGCGCTGCTCTGGATGAATGGAGTTTAGTCAGAAAATGAGTTAATTTCAAACATACAGAGAAGCTATAATTAGGCGAAGTATCACAAAATCTTCCGTTTGAAATGTATCTTTTAGGTTAGGGGAGCATTTTTTAGTTTTCCAAGTTTTAACTCGTTTTTTGCACCTCGGACCAATGTCAATGTACGTGGGTCGTTCATGAACAGGTGTTGCAGTGCACTGGTTCTAAAATGAGTTTGCCAGTTTTACACACCACCGGCGTGCTTTATAGGAGGATACTATCCCAGTTTCCACAGGGTATTGGTTTAGCTTTTGCTTACGGTTCTGGAGTTTTCAAACAGCATGGGACTAGCCAAGGTCAAATGGAGGTAAGATGTTTCAAACACCGCTTTGTGACATGATGAAAGCAGCTACCTGGTGGTGTAAAAGTGAATATTAGTGCTAGATCACGTCTTCTGCAATGTGCGTCACATTCAATGAAATTGTCTGGACTGTGTTTATATACTGTGATGTATCGCTTAAGGGCGACATCTGCTGGACTTAAGTAGTCATTGCAAGTACCCCGGATATAGGGTGCAGAAACTTTGCTTTATAGTCTGACATGGACACAAAATTAATAAATGAAGTACTGAGTGAATGATAGAGAAATGGGTGTAATCCAGATATTTTGAATACAGCCAAAATAAAATGACCGAGTAATACAGTAGGCCAAATACATTCTTAACAATTTTCATTTTTCAAAGAAACTTGGTGAAAAAAATAATTTGGGGCATAAAAGTGATTGTGAACTTTTGCATGTAATAAGTAGTTAAAGCAAGGTTTATACATTTTTTATTAAGGAGCGGATATTTTGCAGTATTTTGGGCCCAAGGCGATATCATCCCTTTGGGACCAGTTCTACTTTAGAGAAAACTTTTTCACTATGTACAGAAGAGGAGAAAGTATTTACACTTTTCAATGCAAGTTTTGTAGAAGTGTAGGTAAATTGGTTTCATATTCTTCCAATATTCCAAAGGATTCTGTCTTTTTGACATTTTGTCAGAAAGTTGCTGCTGGACTTCAACAACAGCAGCTCAACTGTTGCCTTGGAATTCTTCCAGCTCTCAAAAACTTCCACGTCCATCTGCCGCCGCAGGTTGTCTAAAAAAACAATACAATACTTCTTTAGTAATTAGTTGCAAATCATATAACATGACTTGAAAGAAAATGAAACACAAATGCAAACTGTGCTTTTTTCCCATTTTGCTCCAATAGCAGCTGATGGGGTCTGCTCAAGGCTCTTCATTTCAACAACACTGCTTTGAGACATTTCACAGCATCACTGGCCTTGGGTGAACTTAAAAATCCAAGAGTTTTTGTATCTGTGGTCAAGCATAGTTGTAACTGTCATCAATCACAGACTCCAACTCTTTTTTTTATTTATTTAGGTTTTCCATGTTGCCAGCAGTGTGTTTGCAGTGCATGCTATTGCATTTTTAGCATGAAAATGACCTTAGATCCAGACACTTTTTTTCTTCTTCAGACAACTCCACTGTGACTTCATTGAAAGAAATGAGCACGATGACTGTTTTTTAAATATATATATATATATATATTATTCTTTAAATATTTTATTAAGGAGGCTAGAGATATCCACACTGGCTCCCTTTGTTCATTCTTGCCAGCATGTAGCACATGCTGTTTTGTCTTGCTGGGTCCTCATTGATCAGCTTTAGTTGTGGCCTTCACCGTCAGCTCCTGTACTTGAGCCAGCTTCTTTTTAGCAGTGATGCTTGATCTGAAAACAGCGATTTTCCCAGATACAGCCCACTCCTCTATTATGTCTTTTTTTTTTACTTGGGTCACATTTTCTGAGGTGTGTCTCTGAAGTGTTGTCCTCCCAACACTGATGTACGCAATGTGTGGTTTTCATCAGTGAAGTAGCAATTTACAGCCAGGTGCGCCTCCATATTTACAAATGTCTGCATTATATATATATATATATATATATATATATATATATATATATATATACATATATATATACATATATATATATATACATATATCATATCAGCTGTTAAACTTGTGATTCCTCTTCATATTTCTGGCTCACCATGCCGTTTAAAAGCTTAAAATTAAAAATATTTTATAAGAGGGTTCAAGGAGGTGAATCTGCCCTTTAAACTCCATGCCTTCAACAATTCTTAGCAGCTGGCATTCTTTAAATGATCATATTGACCACAGCCTGATTCACCGCCTGCTTTCAGGAAGCTTCAAGTCCAAAATGAAAATGTATCTTTAATAATATGACATGGAATACTTATAATAATAAAAATAATAATATGCACTAATCCATAATAAATTGAAAGGTTACAAGTTGTGAGAATTTCAACAAACCCGAGTTCATAACTGGATTATTTATACAACAAAGTGCTTCTGTTCATGTAAGATGGCTCTTCAGTGCAGAGTGAGTGTTTCACATGCAAATAAAATCAAAAGTTAATTTGAATGAGGAGTTACTCAGAAAGGAATGGGAACCCATAAGTTCAAACAGCAACTGAACAAAAGTGGAAAAAGGAAAACATTTTCTCTGCCGTTATCTGATCAAAATGCTCCTAAACTGAATAAAGTTTCCTCTTTCTCAGTGCCTCCACAGTCCACAGTGTCCTTTCCAAAAATCAGTGATGGGTCCAACAACACCAACGTGCCGGTGTGTGTATTGAGCACTGAGCAAAACCCCATTTTGGTGTGTATTGCTTTACGAAAGCACATTCTCCCATCCATCCATTATCTTTTACCCGCTTCATCCTTTTCGGGTCGCGGGGGTCACTGGTGCCCATGTCAAGCTATCACTGTGCACGAGGCAAAGCTATCACTGTGCACGAGGCAAAGCTATCACTGTGCACGAGGCAGGGGACACCCTGGACAGGTCTCCAGTCAAACAACAATTCACTCTCGCACTCACACCTAGGGACAATTTAAAGTTACCAATCAGCCTAACATGCATGTTTTTGGTCTGTGGGAGGAAACCGGAGTGCCTGGAGAAAAGCCACGCATGCACGGAGAGAACATGCAAACTCCACCCAGAAAGATCCCGGACTGGGATTTCAACCGGGGTGACCTCTCCCAACTGCGCCACTGTGCAGTGAAATTAACAGATACCAAAATAACACATAATCCATCCTGATAAACACTGCTGTAAAACACAGCAGCTGTCAAGCGATTAAAAAAAAAAAAATGCATGCATGAAACATAATTTTGATCTTTATGCTCAATAAACACCAGTACACGTTAAGTGTTGTTGAACCCATCACCAGAAACTATGATAATAACAAACATTTGGCTGTAGTTCCTCATAAGCAAACAGATGTGAAATAGTTTCTATGCATGTTTGAAAATCTCACATGAACTAGCTTTTCATAAGATGAACAAAATTTTGCGAAGCATCCACTAAATACTTTTTGAGTCAGTGGCACACAAATTCACATCTTTATTGAATGATTTCAGTCAAAGTTCATAAACAAGAACTTAGAAAGATGTTTTCCTCACCACATTCAATACACTGAAGCTGTGTCCTCATATATTGCATAAATAATAAAAAAAATGTTTTTTTAATATTTCCTATGCATTATATAGAAAAACATGCTGGACTTCGTGTTTGCTGTGGATGACCCGGTGACATGGCACACTATGAATCTGCTGCAGAATCGCAAACACTACTCCATCCTCAAACTGCTGGGTCCCACGATGATCAGCTCCATACAAAGTAACTACGGGGCTTCAGTGTACTACAACACACTGGTTCCTGTGGATGGAAAGGTAAATAAACTGTAGTAAGGTTATTATGTCTACATCTTTTTATTTTATTTTAATAAATATAAGAATTCTCAGCTGTTCTGTCAGGATGGGTTTAAGGCACTTTTCTATTTTCCTTCTACTAAACCATCTCTCTCCTTGTTCAGATAATCAAATATGGAGTGATTAGCACAGACTCTCTCATTGATGATCTCTTACACTGGAAGACCATGTATGTTGCTGGACGCCTTCACAAACCGGTCAGTATCTTGATCATACACAGATTCATCCTAGAATTGCGCCGCTCAAGGTGGTTGCATGATGGAGTAGCGCTCTTACAATTCAATTCAATTCAAAAATACTTTATTAATCCCAAAGGGAAATTATTTGTTGTTGTGACTCATTATCCTCATTTCATTAAGAGATGTTATAGATACTGATGGCTGTAGGCAGGAAGGATCTCTTGTAAAGGTCCATCCCACAGTAGATCCTAAGAAACTGGCTGCAGATGCCATCTGATCCGTCCACCCAGACTCGGCTGACCTCTTGGTTCCCCCGGGCTGTAGGACTCCCTGAATGCTGGGCAGAACTCCTCCCAGAGCAATGGCCACTCATCCCAGCAGTCTGCCGAGCTCCTCATCACTGCGGACAGCCAACTGTAGGTGCCAAGGGACGATCCTGTCCTTCCGCTGTCATGAGCTGTGTTTCCTGCTAGTTCCAGGATCTCAGTGGTCAGGCACTCAAGCACAGCTGGCAGGTAGATGAGAATGCGTCCACATAACATCCTTTTCAACTCATTTGAGATTTGGGGCTGTAGTTGAGATATTATGTGAGCCGTTAAGATGTTAATCGGCTGCTGTTGGTTTTAGAAAACGGACATGTTGCCATAGTTACGCATCATAACAAATGTCCAAAACTAAAAAAATGTTTCAGTAAAAATCCTTCCAGCTGCACAACATCTGATACCAGAGGAAACAATCATCCAAAAAATGTGATTTACATCCAGAAATAAAGGAATTAAAGTTTCCAAAAGCAAAGTCTCAGAATGAAAGTAACAGAGCTGCTCCAACATGCAGCCACCTTGAGCGGCGCAATTCTAGAACCTTACTTACTTACTTTTTTTTACTTAATTTCATTCTAACACTTTGCTTTTCATCCATCCATTATCTTTACCCGCTTATTCCATTTTGGGTCACGTGCGTCGCTGGTGCCCATGTCCAGCAATCACTGTGCTAGGGGCGGGGTACACCCTGGATGGGTCGCAAGTCCATCACAGGGCCACATAGAGACAAACGAGACAAACAACCATTCACTCTCTCACTCACACCTAGGGAAAATTTAGAGTTACCAATCAGTCTAACATGCATGTTTTTGGTCTGTGGGAGGAAACCGGAGCACCCGGAGAAAACCCACGCATGCACGGAGATAACATGCAAACTCCACCCAGAAAGGCCCCTGGACCGGGGTTTGAACCAAGGACCTGCTCGCTGAGAGGCAGCAGCTCTACCAGTTGTGCCACCTTGCTGCCCCATTTTGCTTTTGAAATTGTTCATTTTTTTCTGGATGTAAATCGCTTTTTCAGATGATTATTTCTTCTGGTATCAGCTGCTGTGCTGCTGGAAGGATATTTACTGAAACCTTTTTTACTTTTGGACATTTGTTATGATGCATAACCATAAAAACAAGGTGGTTTTCTACAACTGGAAGCTGCCGATTAACATCTCAAAAGCTCAAAAAATACCTCAACTACAGCCTCAAATCCCAAATGAGTTGAAAAGGAGGTGCCGTGGATGCATTCCCATCTACCTGGAGGCGGCGATCGAGTGCCTGACCACAGAGATCTTGGAGGTAGCGGGAAAAGCAGTTCCTGACAGTGGGAGGACCGAGGTCGTCCCCCAGCACCTGCAGTTAAGTCTGCGGCGACGAAGGGCTCGGCAGGCTGCTGGGAGAAATGGCCATCGCTCGGGGAGGAGTTCTGCCAAGAGGAACGAGAGGTCTGCTGGGTCTGGGTGGACAGATTGGCATCTGCAGCCATTTTTTTTCCGACTCTGCTGTGGGACGAACTGCTACAAAAGATCCTTCCTGCCCCAAGCCATCAGTGTCTATAGCAACTCTAATGAAACCAGGACGATGAGCTACAACAACAATTAATTCCCTTTAGGATTAATAAAGTGTTTTTGAATTCAATAGAATTGAATTGATTGTAAGACTTCACTCACTTCCAAATCTGAATCCGGAATAAAAAACTACATCGGTTTTAGCTGAGGACATGTCTTAGGAGTTTTTTAGTTTTGTTTTAAGGCAACTGGCTTGGCCCTTTGTTTGACCAGGCCTACAAAAACCCTACAACCCTCATGAGGAAGGGTGATTTGCACATGAGTTCAGCTCACATAAGCACTTTTCGCTTTCCAGCCTGAATGGAAAAAGTTCCTCAGATAAGAAGCAGCATGTCTTCAAAGACAAGAAAAGAAGTTCAGTTGTCTTTTGATTTTAAAGAGCAGTTATGTCCTGACTGAGATTCTTTACCAGCATGCAGCTTATCTGTGCATACTTACTTGCTCATCGTGTGGCGTTCGTGTTCCTGTGCAGGTGAAGATGGTGGTGCAGAGTGAGAACGGAAAGCTTCGTGCTGCTCTGATGGCCAATCTGAAAAGTGCTGTGACTGCCTCCTTTCTCATGCTTCCTGAAAGCTTCACCGAGGACGACCTTTTCCTGCAGATCGCTGGTCTTTCTTATGCTGGTGTGTGACGTATAGAAACCTAAACCTGAAAATCATGTAGTATGAATTTTTTTTAGAACTGTTGCATTAATCACACTGAACGTTTTTATATAAAAGTCAGCAGATGTTATATAATTTATTTATTTAATATAAATTCTTAATACCAGTACTTGTAAGGATACATGCATACAGCTACACACTGCACTGGAATTTATAGTTGTTGCTTTATTGAGTTGGCAGAAATGGTCGAATGAGTCATTTTTGACATACTGCAAAATGTTGCTGTTTTGTTGCCTCAGTAATTATTTACATACCAAGTGAGGGAAGATAAAATTATGTTGAGTGTACCAGTAAGGTTGTTGGTGCTACTGGAAACTTTGTAATGACAAGGTTTTTAATATTTCAGAATGTTTTATTGTTTCAGCATATAAAAATGTAGCCAAATGTATAAAAAACACTTTTTTTTATAAATACTGGCAAGCTGCGGTATCTCTTGTGATCAGTGCTGCTGTTTTGTAATCCTGAGGCTGCAGGTTTGAACCCAGGTTGCATCAGGAAGGGCATCCACATTAAACAATTGCCAAATCTTTCATATGAATTCACTCGTAGTGGTGACTCTCGCAAGAATGGAGCAGCCAAAAGAACGACAACTTCTTCATGAATATTGCACTCACCAGTGAAGTGATGTAGCTGGATACCAAAGTTCAGGCTCAATAATCCAGGTATAAAATCCAACAATGTTCAGTCAGGTCATTTGGACGGTTTCTTTTTTGTGCCGAGACGTTTCATCCGTCATCCAACGGACTTCTGTAATCTGAGGAACCACCAAACAAAACTGTTTCATTCAAAACAGAACTTTGGTGTTTTGAACCACTTTGACATGACTGTCTTTTAGAGGAGTTGACGAGGGAGATTGCGTGCCCCAGAGGCCTCTTGGCACCAGCAAACTGTTTTTTTTTCCACTCTGGAGTATTCTGTTGGTTGGTGGAGAATCAGTTTTGTTTGGTGGTTCCTCAGATTGAAGAAGTCCGTTAGATGAAGGACGAAACGTCTCGGCACAACAAAGAAGCCGTCCAGGTGACCTGACTGACATTGTTGGATGTAGCTGGATATTTTGTTGTCTTATTGACTTGTTAGGATGAAACATTTTGTCTGCTTCTGAAGGGGATTTTAGGATGGTGTTTGGAGAGGACAAATCCAAGGTGGCCAATATTGTGAAAGACAACATGCAGCACTTCCGGCTTCTGTACAGCAACATCCTGCGGGACTGCCCTCAAGTGGTCTACAAACCTCAACAAGAAAAACTTGAGGTATGACATGGAAAACCAGCAAACGCACACAGCTTAATATATTGGCTCTTTCCTTTAAGGAATGTGGCTAAACATCTGTTTAATTACTACAATGCTATGGTGTAAAATGGGACACTCCATAAAAACAGGAAATTAGTTATGTTCCTAAGACAATGAATGTACTATCTTAGAAGATCCATTAGATAATTATTTTTGCAATAAATGTAAAATAATATTCCCTATACCCTCAATTTTCTCTGTCTCTCTGTCTCTGTCTCACACAAGCGCACAACAAGATGAGTTTGCGTACAAAAGATCCACAAGTTTTACAGATATGTACTACAAGATTCAGAAATGCGTAAACAGTTTTTCTAATTGCACAAATGGGAATTTTCTGCGCATTCAAATTGTCAAATACACGTGCACAAATCAGTGACGTGCGTGCGGTGAGGTTTGTGACAGGTGAGGCACCGACTCGTCTGGAATCGGATGCTCACATATATGAACCCAAAATAGAAGCTTATATTTCAATTTAGCCTTTTATTCTTTTAAAAAGGCATCTAATTATGCTTTACTCAACTCCATACTCCTTTTTAAATAAATAAAAGAAAACATGTATTATCTTACCTTTATTTTAAGATGAATGAGTTTAGAAAAATTATTTAGTTTTGAGATATGATCTTCCATTTTGTCTAAACAAATTTAAACAGTGTACTGATGTGCCCTCCCCCCGCCCCTCTGCATAACAGAACCACTGACTGCATCTGTGTCATTGTCTCTATGGGGCAGCACTGCCCCCTATCGGTGCAGCAAGGTATATTCTGCCGCACCTCTGAATTTTCAGCGTGCATTATGACCGATTAGAAAGAAGAAATATGTCACACACATTCATTCAATATATTAGACGGACTTTAAAACATCAGCATGTGCAGCACGTGTAATCAAACATGTATATTGGCGATTATAAAGAGAGACAGTAATGGGCATGCTCCACCTCCTACTTCATATATTGTATATGACACAGCGCCTCCAGAGGTGAACCAGAGCACTACACTACCTCACCCTGCATTGTTTGAACAGGCTATGTGTAAATTCTGTGATTTTGACCATTGAAGTGTTGAAATAATTCAGGAAACAGTTTAATTAAACACTTTTATATAACAGTCAAGTGGTCAAATGTGTTTTCTCTTATCAACGTGTTAGTATTTTGTCATGATGACAGGAGAGGCACTGCCTCACCTGCCTCCCCTGACTGCACGTCACTGGCACAAATTACCTGCTGTGGACATATCGGTCAACATGAGTGCACGGATCAGTTTGCATCTGAATATGACTTTTGAGACTTTCTTACCGCTCCAAATTCACAAAGGTGATGCTTACCTGATGTACTGAGTGTTAGGGAAAAAAAACATATTTCTAACTTAGCACAGTACCTCATAACCTTTTATATTAAAACACATACACGTACGTTAGCATTCCTGGAGTGAAATTTTTTAAATTTTTTTAACTGTACGATTAAAAGAAGCAAAACGAGCAGGTTATTCTTAATTTTCTTGTGGAAAAACTACTAGTAAAATATGTTATCTGGTATTTTAGCAGCAGAAGAAAATATTTTATACATATGATATATTATAAAATAAAATAAACAACCTAAAATGTGTTTATTATTCTTCATGTAGATAATTTATCGAGAAAAATATGTAAAGTTTACTGAATTTTTTTTTTCCTGGAGTTTTTCCACAAGAAATATAACCTAACCATTTTTTTATGTTTATTTAACGGTCCACAAATTGAACATTTTCTTGTGGACAAACCATCAGAAAAATATATATTTTTGTTTTTCTTGTGAACTGTACATTTGGAATAAACTGGAGGTTTTTAATTCCTCTGCACAAACTACTAAAAAATTACCTTTTCCAGTATTTTCTTCCTTTGCTAAAAGTATGGGGAAAATATACATTTCCAGTTGTTTATCCACAAGGAGAAAATGTTAATTTTGTGGACCGTACAGCTAAAATAAACATAAAAAATGAGTAGGTTATTTTTTCCTCTGCAGAAACTTCTGGAACTATATTTTACGGTGTTTTCTTCCTCAGCTAAAAATACTGGAAAATAAATTTTTCCAGGAGTTTTTACACAAAAAGAAAATGAAGAGTAACCTACTCATTTAGAGTTATTTTAACTGTACAGTTCATAAAATTAACATTTTTGTAATCCAGTAACCTTAATGTAAGAGTGTGTGTTTTAATTTAGGAGTTAGGAGCTACTGTGCAAAGTTAGAAACTGTCCCAGCTTTTCACCAGCCTTGAACGCAGCATCACCTTTCTGAATCTGGAGAGGTAAGAAAGTCATTAAATTCACATTCACAGGCAAGCTGATCTGTGCACTTGTGTTGACTGATCCATCTGTAGCCGGCAATTTGTGCACGTGCATTTGACAGTTTGTATGCACAGAATATTCCTACTTGTGCTGTGTGAAATGTATGTATGTGAAAAAACTGTGCTAGGGATGCAAGATATTGTATTTTTGGCCGATATCCAATATGTTAAAACTTATTTGGCCGATAACTGATACCAATACCAATATTTTTTCCTAGACCTACTTACAGAGACTGCATAGCTTTCTCTGCTGTGGAATTAAAATACTACATTATTCTGCATGGTCTTTGTCAGTTTGGCCTGCAACTAAATGCAAATACCATAAAGGGGGCTGAAAATGATGCAACACTTCAACTTGGATTATGTTTAATGTCACATTTATTCATGACATTTACTCTCTCTAACACAATGACAACACTCGAACAGTGCAAATTTATAAATTTTCACAAATCTAAACTCGGCCTGTTCACAAGCAACAAGTGAAGCACATAAGTAGTAGTGCATTAATAGATACACTTGACAGTTTCTTTAATTTAAAATTAACTTAAAACAGAAGCCTTTTATATCGGTGAGTTATTTTGATGGAATGGCCGATGTCTGATATTTAACTTCATTGCTTATATTGGCCGATAATATCATGCATCCCTAGTCTGTGCATCTGTAAAGCTTGTGGTACGCTTGTGGATCTTATTGTACACGTACAAATATGCAATACGTTGTACGCTTTTTTGTGACTACATTTGAGATTAATTTATCTTCATATATTTGCTGCCTAAAATAAATCTGTGTTATAGTCAAGTCACATTTATTTATATAGCACATTTAAAACAGTAACTGTTATCAAAGTGCTTACCAAAAAAGATCACAGCATCAAATATTAATAACAAGATATTACAGCAACATGAATAAAAGCATAAAAACATTAAATATAATGAGAAACAATGAAATACTAAATCAAATCACCCTGCGTTAAATGTCGGGGAGTAAAAGCAAAATGGATGAACACAATCATCAACAATGAAATACCAAATGAGATCACACTGTGTTAAATGCCAGTGAGTACAGATGTGTTTTGAGGAGAGATTTAAAAGCAGAGACTGAGGTGGCCTGTCGAATGTTGATGGGCAGATTGTTTCAGAGTTTAGGGCCTATGACTGAAAATGCCCGATCTCCTCTGAGCTTCAGCCTGGTTTTTGGTACGGCCAAAGGCAGCTGGTCTGATGATCTCAAGGACCGAGAAGGAGTATAAGGATGAAGGAGGTCGGAGAGGTATGAGGGTGCAAGGCCATTAACACACTTAAATGTCAGCAGAAGAATCTTAAAATCAACTCTTGACATGCACAGGAAGCCAGTGAAGAGAAGACAGAACTGGAGTAATGTGCTCAAACCTGCGAGTTCCTGTTAGTAGCCGAGCTGCAGCATTTTGGACAAGCTGGAGACGTGAGAGAGAGACCTGACTGACCCCAGCATCAAGTGAGTTACAGTAGTCCAGCCAGGTTGTAATAAATGCATGGACCAATTTTTCAAGGTCGGATCTGGACAGGACGGACTTGAGCTTAGCTATCTGCCTTAGCTGAAAGAAGCTTTTTTGAAGAACAGAATTTATCTGCTTATTAAACTTAAAGTCCGAGTCTAAAACTGTCCCGAGATTGGTAACAGACTGTTTTAGATATGGCTGAAGAGAGTCCAAGTTTGCAGGATCAGTGACAGTGGCAGAGCTAGGGTTAAACACAATGACCTCAGTCTTCTGATCATTAAAACTCAAAAAGTTCGCAGCCATCCAAGTCTTGATGTCATCAAGACATTTTAACAAAGGGCAAATGGAGGAGGAACTGTTTGGTGTTAACGGCAGATAAATCTGAGAGTCATCAGCATAACAATGAAAGGAAAAACCATGTTTACTCAGGATAGACCGTAAGGGGAAGAGATACAAAGAAAACAGAAGGAAAGAGGCACTGAAGTAGATAGTGTTAGCAAAATTAACACAGAAACTCCTGTCGCTCAGGTAGGGCAACAGACATGTATATTGAAATCTCCCAGAATCAAAACCCGATCATATCTGAGCAGAATCCAAGTTAAAAAGTCAGAGAGTTCAGCCATGAAGTCCTTATTATATTTGGGTGGCCTGTATAACACAGCAGAAAAAACAGGATTTGAACGGCCCACCTCAAAACACAGCAGTTCGAAGCTCAAAAAATTAGCTGGTATCTGTACCAGTTTGCAGTTCCATCGTTTTTTGAAAATAGTTAATAATCCACCACCTATGGCTGATATTCTCAGAGCATTAGAATAAGAACAGTCCGGTGGTAAAATTTCTGACAGGGCCATGAACTCACCACAGGAGAGCCACGTCTCAGTCACGCAGAAGAAGTCCAGACCGGTGGAAGAGAAAAAGTCCTTCAAGATTAACGTTTTATTAGCCAGAGATCTGGCGTTTATCAGTGCAATCCTTGTAGGAATCACAGCAGGAGAAGTTGTCCGTGAAGTTAAGACCATTGGTCTCAGATTTGTGGAGTTTGACCCACGACGCCAACGACCGGAAGCCCAGCCGCTGCAAACAGGTCTGCTGTGGAAGCACGACCCATCCCGTGGGACCGGGAAGGACTCCGGTGGATCGGCGCAGCACCAGGACAGGTGATTTAAGATGTGGTCCTTGGTTGAAGAGGAAGCCGCAGCAGCAGCTCGCCAGGCTTTGATCCTCACAAGACGGCCGGCTTGTTTTCCACGGCGCCTGGAGCGATGTCTTCGAGCGGGCAGGATACTACAGCGGAGGTAAACAGGAATGTCTTCAAGCAGAGGTGGGGTCCAAGAGGGGGTCCAGAGTTACGATCATTATGATCAAACAAAGCGAGACTGGTGGCAGATAGTCAGAGATTTAGGAGTTGATGACGTTCATAAACCAGCCGTGAGTCGATGTTGTAAGTGAAAAATGACAAAAACAGAAAAAACACAATCACTGCAGACAGAGGTGGAGGGCAGGCCATGCACAGCGGCGCCATCTTCCCGGAAGGGAATATAATAAATTAATTATAATTAAATTAATTTATAATTTTTATAATTATAAAATTATAATTATATTTTGATTGTGAAACAGGCAGACTTATTATTTACTGACAGCTGTTTGATTATACTGAATTTTCTCTGTTCTTAACCGTCCTTTTAACTAGATCAGTGTGGAAAGTGTTTGTCTGAACTTCATACAACCTGCAAACATTAGTGTGCAATATTCCTGCTTTAGTACCAACCTGTTGCTGCCACACCCAGGCACACAAGGAAATACTTCTCACCTGAGGCGACGCACCTCCTGGAATAACATGTTGAGTAAACGTAGAGGAGGAGCGTTCAGGTGCAAGGCTCTGTGTATCTTTTGTTTAGTGTCTCTGCAGTGGAAAATAAAAAAAATCCCTGGGGAATTGTTCACGGTGATGTTTTCCGACAGGAGCAACACTCCTAACCCAAAGTCATAAATGTACAAAGCACATTTGCTCGCTAGCAGTCTGCTTCTGCTATTAGGTTGTTATTCTTTTAAACTTTGATGGAAATGTGAATGCGTTAATGACCACCTGTAAAAAAAAAAAAGTTAAAAACTAAACAAAAAAACTGGTGACTGTGTTTGAAAACAGCTCGAGTGTTCACTTTGTGTGAACCTTTTTAGACAGTGTATGTTTCTAAGGACAGCCTGCGTCTCTATCCATCACTTCACTGTGCTGTTATAAACTGATACTTCAGGAAATGGTCACTGTATGACTAAATCTTCTGAAACTGTCCAGAAAAAAACATCTACTTCTATACTTTAGGTTCCTAATGTTTTGTTCCTTGTCACACTGTACAGGATAGAAACTAGCTAATGAATAACAACAACAACAGAATATAAAAGTTACAGATGTTTTCAGTGTTACAACCACAAAAACAAATGCATTTCAACATATGCAACCAAATACAGTATTTAAGACAATTGCAATACTACAGATAACGTGAAAATACACTTTCTACAGTGGTATAACAGTAATCAATATTCAAACTTTTTATTCAAATATTAACTTGTGAATAAATAACTTTTTATCCATGTTTTTTTAAAACTTTACATCAATATTTTTTTCTTCATCGGTTATGATTTAGGGTCAATGGTAGATAATATTTACAATATTCCATGTGAAATATTATGTTAAAAAAAGGTGTAATAGTTTACCCAGGCCAGGTCCAATCCCAGTCTGGGAAATTGTTTATTTATTTATTTATTTTCAACAAAAGTCAAAAGTACAAACCAAATGGAGATGATCAAGACAGTACAACTACAACAATTTCAGATATGTTCCAAATACAAATTTAACTGAAAACAATAACTTAGATTTGTACAAAATATAATTCAATGACTAAAAAGATGAAAAATGTCCAAATATGATTTGAAATATGAGCAAAACAATTACAGTTATGAATAATAAATAGTTGTAGTTGCCACTCTTACTGGATACTTGTGTCTGGATAGTTATACGCCCTAACACCACAATAGTTTTGCAGACACTGATTCAACTGTAAGTATTTCTCCTTGTTTGTTTTCTTTCAGGTCGACAAAAGTCCCGAAGGCCAGTTTATCCAGCTGATGGCGTTACCTCGAACTCTTCAGCAAAGGATCACAAAGCTGGTCGATCCTCCAGGGAAGAACCGGGACGTGGAGGAGATCCTGCTGCAGGTGGCTCAGGACCCTGACTGCGGGGCCATTGTGCAACAAGGTACAGTAGATTTACGAGAATACGGCTGTGAAGCTGCTCCAGAGTCTGTTCTTGTGAAATGATTCACTGAACCATTTGCCTTAACAAAAAGGGAATAAACAAGATGGTAAAGAGGAGGGGCATGAGGAACAGTATGGTTCAACGATTTATCATCAATTATACTTTTTAAATGGCAAAGATAAACTGATGAAACAATACGTTTTTATTTTAGTGAACAAGCGAGCAAATATATATTAATAAATGGTACGAATAAAAAGCGTAAACTATACATAATTTTAAAAATCTTTACAGAACCCTCCTTGATAACTGTCTACACAAACTGCTTCTAGACAACAGTCACACTGAGCTGATGAAATGTTGCCTGTCTCACAGGTATCTCTACGATCGTCAAGACGTCCAGTATAACACAAAGTCTCAAAGGCATTGTTACAGCTGGTAAGAACTCGTACACCTCATCTATAAACCTGCATTGATGTGTTGTGTAGTAGAGCTTTAGACTGATAAAAACACTGTACAACACTTCTGGTAATGAACTTAATGTCTACAATGTTAGAACAAAATACAAAATTTTATATATTTCAAAAAGAACTCATGAACTATAGTGAGATGTTTGGATTATTAAATGATAATGAAACATACCAGCTAGCATCTCTGAAGCTTATTAATTAATACTGTATATATTGCTTTAAAATATATTGTAAATTCTAACAAAACTACAGTAGTCCCTCGCTACTTCGCAGTTCGTTTTTCGTGGACTTGCTCTATAGACGTTTTCAAAGTAAGATTGGACATAACACACTATGTCTGACTGATGGATGAGCTGAACGATTGGCATGGATTTTTTTATTTAAAATAAATTATTTTAAATTATTTAGCACCTGCTGCACAGGTGCACAGGTCTGTGTGCAGCCCACAGCTGTGAGAGAAGCTTCCCCCTGCAGCTGATCAGCTGATCTCAAGGAGAGAAGTGGGCGTGAGCGAGAGTGCAGCCAGAGGCAGAGAGCTGAAATCATGACATTTTGTGCTCTTTTAGAACGTTTAAAGTTTTGAAACATTGTTTAGAATATTGAAAGAGTGTGGGAAGGTTTTAAAATGCCTTAATAAATATATAAATACTAAAATAAATTACTACTTACTACTTGTACTACTATTCCTACTTCATGGTTTTTCACTTATCGTGGGGCTTCAGGGTACGGATCCTCCGCGATAAACGAGGAACTACTGTAATGGCCTGTTAGTTGCAAAGTATTGTATACATTTTATATATTGTATATCATATACCTCTTACCTTTTCGCCAACCTTAAGAAATGCTTATTGGGAGATGTAATTTAGGACCATGTTATTAGTCTTCTGTATTAGAAACTTTGGACACACCGTTCTTGTCTTTTCCTCTTTAGGTTTGTGGAAGACAGTGTCATACAGCTCCAGAAAGTTGAAGAAAATGTGGAGGGGCTGGAGGAGGAAGTCGTCTGTCTCACACATGTCCTGATGCAGATGATTCAAAACTGTCCGTTTTTATTATTTTTATTTAAACTATCCATATTCCACCATTTATTTCCTGTTTTTACACCTTGGAAAACTGACTTGAACAATGGCGCAGATATCTGTAACGTTATGGGCTCTGAAAAACAAAACACTGTCAGTGTATAGTTAAAATCCATTTGTTTACCTGCGCTTAAACTCATGATAGTTGCAGGAAAAAAAACGAGACATTTCCAGAGTCAGACTGAATTAGGTTTTTTAGTCGTACTAAATATTTGACCTTTTTATTTTAGGGCTGAAGTGAGTCAGGGACGTGTGAAAGTTAGTGGAATGTAAAGAGCACCTTTGTGTTAATACAGCTTGAAACGTCTACCTCAAGTTTAATGAAAGGAGTTTGACATTGTGTATTTTTTCATGTGAATAGTTCTGTCCTTGTTGGGACCCGTGATTGACGTAATAGGGGTTAGCGTTTCACTCTCCAGATCCCAATAGTGTGCATGCTTGTTAACATTTTATTCAAAATAAATGGAGTTTGAGTGATTTATCCATCAACACATGTAACTAGACCAGAGGTCTGCAACCAGCGGCTCTGGAGCCACATGTGGCTCTTTGGTCCTTCTGCAGCGGCTCCTTCAAGCTTTGGCCAAAACTGCCATAAAACTGAATTTTATTGGTTGTTACACAAACAACAAAAAAGTGCTAGTTTTAGCTGTTTTCCTTTCATTTCTTTTGCAAATACTCACTTTAACTTTTTGCTTTATTTCGACACCTAATTATTTTATACACAATTAAAAATCACATAGATCTGCACAGTTCTTTTTTTTTTTTTTTTAACTATTTTTTTTCCCACTCTTTACAAGAATCTGGTCTTTTCCTTTGTCTTAAACTGTAAAAAAAAAAAAAATCAAATGTTAAAACTCATTAGATATTTTTAGCTTTATAATGTCACCATTACTGGCCACAAAAAGTCTCCTCCAACAAACCTAAAGTAGCCCACGGGCCACCAGTTGATAATCACAGTTGTAGCAGGTTGTTCAGGCTCTGGACACATTTAATTTAGTGAATGAAGGTTTAAAAATGTCTCTTTTGATCATAAAAGTTGCAGACACCTGAACTAAACAAAGGTCTAGAACCTAAAAGTTGAAGCTGCTAAGTAAAAGTGCCCCCTAGTGGCCGGCTGCAGTGCAATTACAGGTCACACCCATGCAAAATCAATGGGATATTTTCCTGACAAAAAAACAAACATACACTTCATGTGTTGATTTTTATTGATTTATGTTTAACTTGCCTTGTTGCAATATATTTTTTAATCTATTTCTTTTTAAGTATGTTTAGTTTTACTTGGTATTTGAAAGTGTCCTGTTACACCATGTTGATGAGTTGTGATTGTGAGTAGACAGGGCTTTAGTATTAAAGGTCCAAAATCACTAATGCACAGACTCTGGCTCCAAAAATACAACTTGGCAGCATCCGTAAACCAGAGATTATTTCAGTTTCGAACAATGGAAGTTCATTTAGTTTCTTAGTCCATCTTTATTTATGTTGATGCAGTTTGTATTTCTGTAATTCATGACTGATAAATTGTACAAATGTGGATAAATGTGAATCTCCTCACATATTTTCTCAAAACTAGCACTGCTGTTTGTTTTTTCTCTGTATTTGGAAGTGCATTATTCTTAATCACCTCTTGAGTAAGTTTTGTCATAGCTCAAGTATTGTCGGCGCACAGTCTGCTTGGTGACAAAAGTCGGAGCTACATGCAGGCAACTATAGAGGAACATACAAGACCATATGTGTCAAACTCAAGGCCCAGGGGCCAAATTTGGCCCTCATTGACATCTTATCTGACCACCAAGATGATATTTGAAACATAAAATACTTCTATCTCTTGAAATTTTTTCAGTAATCTTTGATTATGATGTTGAAAGCAAAACAGAGAACATCAATGAGACCAATCAAACTCTTGTTGAGGAACCTGTGACCAAGAAAAGATGTTGGGTATCTGATTTGAGTTAACGTAGATTCTGATATTGGCCCTTAGTTTGAAAAAGGTTTTAATTTTGGCCCCTTTTTGTAAGTGAGTTTGACACCCTAGACTAGACCCTCACTTTGGTAAAAAATAATAATAATAAAGCCCTGCAGTGGCAGACATCAGCCGTTAATTGTAAATTGCTCAAATCATCAAAACTAAAATAAACCTAATACGATCTTTAAAAACAACTTTGACCTTTAAACTTTTCAGGTTCTACTTCTTTGGACCCCTAAAACAAGTTAAACAAAATCACACACATCTACTTACCTGACTTACTTTACCAAAGTTATGTTGAATGTTTATGTCTTTAAATGTTTTTATTCACTGCAGTTTGCATACTGGTACCTTGTAATACCTTTCTGTACAATGATGAATATCCAATTAAAAAAAAGAAGTTTAATAAAGTTTTATAATCGCACCAGTCCTCTTCAGCTGTATGTTCTTCTATGTGAACATAAGGTTTGTTCAAAAACCCAATTTAATCTAAAGATAAAATGTTTGCTTTTACAGTGTATCACAAAAGTAAGTACACCCCTCACATTCCTGTAGATATTTAAGTATATCTTTTCATGGGACAAAATGACACTTTGACTAAATGAAAAGTAGTCTGTGTGCAGCTTATATAACAGTGTACATTTATTCTTCCCTCAAAATAACTCAATATACAGCCATTCATGTCTAAACCACCGGCAACAAAAGTGAGTACACCCTAAGAGACCACACCCCTAAATGTCCAAATTGAGCACTGCTTGTCATTTTCCCTCCAAAATGTCATGTGACTTGTTATGTCTCAGGTGTGCATAGGGAGCAGGTGTGTTCCAATTTTCTAGTACAGCTCTCGCACTCTCATACTGGTCACTGAAAGTTCCAACATGGCACCTCATGGCAAAGAACTCTCTGAGGATCTTAAAAGACGAACTGTTGCGTTACATGAAGATGGCCAAGGCAACAAGAGGATAGCCAACACCCTGAAACTGAGTTGCAGCACAGTGGCCAAGATCATTCAGCATTTTAAAAGAGCAGGGTTCACTCAGAACAGACCTCGCGTTGGTCGTCCAAAGAAGCTGAGTGCACGTGCTCGGCGTCACATCCAAATGCTGTCTTTGAAAGATAGGCGCAGGAGTGCTGTCAGCATTGCTGCTGAGATTGAAGAGGTGGGGGGTCAGCCTGTCAGTGCTCAGACCATACGCCGCACACTACATCAAATTGGTCTGCATGGCTGTCATCGCAGAAGGAAGCCTCTTCTGAAATGTGTTCATAAGAAAGCCTGCAAACAGTTTGCTGAAGACATGTCAACAAAGGACATGGATTACCGGAACCATGTTCTATGGTCTGATGAGACCAGGATTAATTTGTTTGGTTCAGATGGTCTCAAGCATGTGTGGCGGCAATCAAGTGAGGAGTACAAAGATAAGTGTTTGATGCCTACAGTCAATCATGGTGGTGGGAATGCCATGGTCTGGGGCTGCACGAGTGCAGCAGGTGTTGGGGAGTTACATTTCAATGAGGGACACATGAACTCCAATATCCATCCATCCATTATCTTTACCCGCTTATTCCATTTTGGGTCACGGGGGTCGCCGTGCCCACGTCCAGCAATCACTGTGCGAGGGGCGGGGTACACCCTGGACGGGTCGCAAGTCCATTACAGGGCCACATAGAGACAAACGAGACAAACAACCATTCACTCTCACTCACACCTAGGGACAATTTAGAGTTACCAATCAGCCTAACATGCATGTTTTTGGTCTGTGGGAGAAAACCGGAGCACCCGGAGAAAACCCACGCATGCACGGAGAGAACATGCAAACTCCACTCAGAAAGGCCCCTGGACCGGGGTTTGAACCAAGGACCTGCTCGCTGAGAGGCAGCAGCTCTACCAGTTGTGCCACCGTGCTGCCTTGAACTCCAATATGTACTGTTAAATACTGAAGCAGAGCATGATCCCCCTCCCTCCCGAAACTGGGTCACAGGGCAGTGTTCCAGAATGATAATGACCCCGAACACACCTCTAAGACGGCCACTGCTTTACTGAAGAGGTTGGGGGTAAAGGTGATGGACTGGCCAAGCATGTCTCCAGACCTAAACCCAATAGAACATCTTTGGGGCATCCTCGGGCAGCACGGTGGTGCAACTGGTAGAGCTGCTGCCTCTCAGCGAGCAGATCCCTGGTTCAAATCCCGGTCCGGGGGCTTTCCTGGGTGGAGTTTGCATGTTCTCTCCGTGCATGCGTGGGTTTTCTCCGGGTACTCCGGTTTCCTCCCACAGACCAAAAACATGCATGTTAGGCTGATTGGTAACTCTAAATTGTCCCTAGGTGTGAGTGAAAGAGTGAATGGTTGTTTGTCTCTATGTGGCCCTGTGATGGACTTGCGACCCGTCCATGGTGTAACCCGCCCCTCGCACAGTGATTGCTGGACATGGGCACCGGCGACCCCCATGACCCAAAATGGAAGAAGCGGGTAAAAGATGATGGATGGATGGGGCATCCTCAAGCGGAAGGTTGAGGAGCACAAAGTCTCGAATATCCGCCAGCTCCGTGATGTCGTCATGGAGTGGAAAAGCATTCCAGTGGCAACCTGTGAAGCTCTGGTAAACTCCATGCCCAGGAGAGTTAAGGTAAATAATGGTGGCCACACAAAATATTGTCACTTCAGGACCTTTCACTAAGGGGTGTACTCACTTTTGTTGCCGGTGGTTTAGACATGAATGGCTGTATATTGCGTTATTTTGAGGGAAGAATAAATTTACACTGTTATATAAGCTGCACACAGACTACATTTCATTGTGTCAAGTGTCATTTTGTCAGTGTTGTACCATGAAAAGATGTACTTAAATATCTGCAGGAATGTGAGGGGTGTACTCACTTTTGTGATACACTGTATGTAAAGGCGATCTTGCTCAGAACGGTAGGTTTATGTCTTCCTGCAAATTCACTAATTAGACAATTTTAATCTTTATTTTTTGTCATGATTGGTCATTTGATGTGGGATATGTTGACAAACGCATAATGGCAGCAGAGGAGAAGAGAGTTTTTACTTCTTAAAAATATATCTTAAATATATATCTTTTTGAGTAG